GAAACCTGATCTTCCTATCCGACGAATTTTATTCAACCATTTCTTCTTCACCGAGCCTGTGTTTGGTACTTCCCACTGTCTCGAACTACTACCTAAGCTTCAGGTGTTACTTCTGTAGCAACAAATACGGGTTGAAAACGAAACGAAGTCAATTTTCCTGCGCAACCTGGAGGACTGCTGTTTAATTCAATAATGATACGACATGGGTCAGACGAAGAGTGTATATATATATCAGGTATTTAGCTGTTCAAACATTGACTTGTAGACAATCTACTAATGGACATTATATCATACTTGATCGTGCCTGTAAAAATGGCATGCATTTTCATGTAAATTTATGTTTATATGAAAATATAAATTACTATTATTATTAACATCCTCCTCACTCTTTCAAATATACAGGACTTGTTGGTCTGTTACGTGATTGTTGTGAAGCCGAATAACTCGAAAGTTACAGGCAAAGTCAAAAGCTTTTACTTAAATACTTTATCTTTCTATTCTGTGCTTTCTATTGTCTTTTGCTGTCAGTCTATTGGACAAAACTCCACTGTCTCTTATTATTTAATCATCGGTATTAATTTAGGAGCGATTTGACTATAGATTCTCACCCTAAGATACGTAATGGGAGACCATACACAGTAGTCACCAGGGCTTCAGCTAAATTAGGCAAAACAGGTGAAGGTGATGGACTTTCGCATACTGGTCTTGAAGACCAGGGTAAATATTCCCTGCGTGGACAGATTGCCCATGTCGCCACAGTCCTACAGTGAAACTGTGGAAAGTCAACCAAGCGGATGTGGCTCCATCCCTGTTAACACGACTAGGTTAATAGAGCCGAGTGGTAAATCTGCACAAAGTGAGAATAGTATAACACCCATCTCCATAGTAGGCCTTGAAACAAACAGGAAGGCCAAAAAGAAACGTCCACGTCGTCGCAAGACGACAAAAACGTTCCCCAAAGAGGCAGACGATTGCAAGGTCTGCGATTCTGTTGTCGAACAAGCAGACTCTGCCTTCGAATGCAACTTTTGCAAGCAATGGGTACATTGTAGATGCGACACTGGGGTACCAAACGTATATTACGATTTTATGCGTAAGAACCCATGCCCATGGTTCTGGCACATATGCCCAAGTTGCCGTCCTGATGTAGCCTCTTGTAGTTCCTTGAAAGCTAAAGATGGCGTAGAGGTATCAGGGAAAAAAGTTAAACGTTCTACTCCCACCAGCTCGGAAAACAGCACAATTGCACGTAAATCGGGGATACCAAAATCCACACCAGTTAAACTTGCAATTCCAGCCATAACTGCCCCAGACACAGAGGCTGAAGCTGGGAAAAAACCCTTATCGTTCAGCTCCCGAGACCACTTGACTACTGCTCTCCAGAGATGGTACGAGACCAAGGACAAGATCAGCAGACACATTAGCTGCTGCGAGAGCCGGCCTCGTATCCAAAGGAGAGAACAAAGCGTTGTCAAAGAAAACCCCCAAACCTTAGTCACAATACAGCGGTGCAGCACGGACGATGATAGCCAGTGTCATCCAAGTGCTCCGATTGAACTGGAGGAAAAAACGCCAACAGGCAGGTTCCCGGGGAATCGGTCAACTAGTTCGTAGGATAGCTCCTCAACCGACAGCCCACATCACGTCAACCACCCCCAATACGGGCACGTGGTGAGACTGACTACCAGTAATGTGAGAGGTCTAAGAGGCAAAATAGCTGAACTTAGACACCTACAATCACAGCTGAGCTCCAAAATCATAATACTGACGGGAACCTGGCTAACCCCTACGGGGGCAGACAGCGAAGTCAGTATAAATGATATTGTCCTAGTCAGGTGAGATAGGGACCTGAAAGAATGGGGTGGAGTCGCCATATACGTCGACAAACAGCTCAGATGTGTTCACGCAATGGACCCTCCCCTCATTGAGCTCCCTGACTCCACATGGTGCCATTTCACCGTTGGGTACTGTAAATATCTAGTGGGCAGCATTTACAGATCACCTTCATGTGGAGCAGACCACAACCAGGTACTGCTGAATACAATTTCGGCGACACAAGACATGGGTTATGATCAAATTGTCATAGCTGGCGATTTCAATGCCCCATCTCTAAAATTGATGACGGGATATGCCCATGATAGATTTGATCGAAATCTGCTGCATACCATCAGGGAGGCTGGATTCACTGAAAATGTCAGAATGGATACTAGATGGGGCCCAGATGGGAAGTCATCTAGACTGGGTTATGTGCTCACTAGTGACCAGCTACTCGTGGAAAACATTCAGATCACGACCCCCATAGGTAGTAGTGACCACGCGGTCATAGCATTCGACATAGTACTCCGCGAGCGTTTACAGTGGGAAAATACACAGCCCTATCTGTGTTATAACAAAGCCAATTACACCGAAATGCGAAGACTTTTGTCTGAAGCAAATTGGCCTAAAAATTGGACACAGCTTACAGTAGAAGAACACTGGGGAGTGGTAAAGGAGATCATTCACCACGCGGTCTCAGACACTGTTCCTTTAGTCACACCAAAAGCTAGGAAGCAACGTTCACGGCTAAAATGGGGGACAAAAGGCCTTCTACAGGCGAAGCGAAAAGCCTGGTTTGCGTGGCAAGTATCGAAGAGTCAACTCGAACATGAAGTGTACCTTGAACTCAGGAATCGATGTAACATACGAGTCCGGAGTGATAGAAGGACATTTCAGAGAAACCTCGCCAATGAGCTTCTCGTGAACCCCAAAAGCCTATACAGGTTTATGTCTGAAAGAAAGCCAACCAACGAAGGAGCTTGCAATCTAGTGGATTCTGATGGGAAATCTCTTACTAGTCTTGAAATGGCAGAGACATTCAGTCTAGCCTTTCACAGGCAACTGAACAGTAACGAGGATTTTAGCCCCACAAAACATCAAGATTACAATGCAAAACCAGCGTGCGAAAACCTGCTGGGTATATTTCAAATTACCCCGGCTATGGTACTCGTTAAATTGGGAAAGTTGGCTTCGGGAAAGTCTGCAGGTTGCGATGACATAAGACCATCCGTCCTGAAGCAGTGTTCAGAAAGTCTCTGCCAACCCCTAAGTGATCTGTTTCAACACTCTTTTGATGTAGGGAAACTTCCATGTGAATGGAAACGAGCCATCCTATCCCCTATCTTCAAGGGTGGTGACCGGCAGAACGCGACCAGTTACAGACCAGTTGCGCTACTCCCAGTGATATCGAAGATATTGGAAAGTCTCATTGACGACCACATGAGAAAGTCCTGCGACGGGACTAACCTACTCGATGAAGCACAGCACGGTTTCAGGAGGGGAAGATCCTGTGTGACGAATCTTCTACTAGCTTGGAACGATTGGACACTATCCTGGGACGTAAAGGTACCAGTCCACGTGATCTTTCTCGACTTTGCGAAAGCATTCGACACAGTTCACCATGGTCTGCTCCTTCACAAAATAAGCAAGGCGGGTGTTTCTGGAGCACTTCTCGCGTGGCTGAAAGATTACTTAGGCGACAGAGAATTCTGCACCAAAGTCAACCACATCCAATCATCCTGCCACACCTCGGCATCAGGGGTTCCTCAGGGTTCTATCTTAGGGCCGTTGATGTTTTGATTTTTATGAACGACCTGCCCTGTCAACTGAACTGTTCTGCGCTTCTTTACGCTGACGACGTAAAGATTTGGAGAGCAATAAACTCATCGGAAGACTCCGACAGATTGCAGGCTGACCTACAAACTCTGTGAGACTGGGCTCTGGCTAGCGGAATGCCTTTCAACCTAAAGAAGTGCAAAGTAGTGCAACTTCATTCTGGCAGGTCACAGAGTGCAAATTACACCCTTGCCGGGCAGAACTACAGTTGTGTGCCATCAGAACGCGACCTAGGTCTTATTTTAACAGAAGAGCTAGAAACCAGTGTAAATCACACGAGGGACGTCGCCAAAGCTTACGCAACTTTACGCTTTATGCATAGGCAGCTGGGAGCCCTTACTCCAGAACTACTCTTAAGGTTGTATACGACATACGTGAGGCCACTCCTTGAGGTGCACAACATCATTGCTCCTCCGCTACTCAAAAGGGATGCTAACATTCTAGAAAGTGTCCAGAGACGAGCGACAAAATGGGTGATCGGCCTCCGCAACAAATCATATGAGGAAAGACTGAAGAAATTAAGTCTTTTCACACTTAGTTACCGTAGTCATAGGGGAGACCTCATCACCGTCTATAAGATCTTAAATGACCAGGCCCACCCAAATAAAAGCATCCTGCCATTCAGTGGTTATAGGCTTCCACGAGGTAACCCGCTAAGGATAGCACACCAGAGACCAAAGACTCGAGTGCATTCACATTTCTTTTCGCTTCGAGTTTGCCGTCTCTGGCACGCTTTACCGGCGGCCGTGACTACACCGCCATCTGTGGAGACTTTTAAGCGGAAGCTGGACAATCATGCAGAAATGCATGGTTTGTGTCTCAATGGCTTATCCTCTTAAAATTTGAAACCACACTGTCAATGGATAAGCATACAAGCTAAATCCCCACGACCCGTTCTGTCTTCTCTCACAGTACCGACTACTCTATCGCTTCCTTAGGTCACCTTTATTATTTCCCTTATCTCAACCTATATTATCTACACTACAATCTATTATTATTACTACTAATCTGCTTTTATGACTACACTGAATGACCAACGGGTGTTAGGCCAAACTCCATTCACGTCAGCAACTGAGTCCTAACATACTGTACACTACAAACTACATCTTGACCAATCCTCGCACCACTCCTCTTGGAGTCTACCAGAGCTAAAGCAGTCGAGTGGCGGGACTTACTACGCAAAAGTTCAACGAAGATCTGGAACCTCTACCTTACAATCAAGAAGCGAGCTCAAATAAATCACTGGTTTATACTAGCTCGTAATCAGGATATTGGATATTGTTTATTGAACACAACCTTCAGCTGTGTCGACTACAGCTATTTAAATTTTGAATGCTACAGATATTTGATGCTACCTCGTTCGTAGTGTCATAAAGTACTTCAGCTTTTGGACACATTCAGTGTGCCTTTATTCCTCTCTTTACGTTTTAAATTAGCCTTTTGACTTTAAGGATGGCTATAGGTATCTGTGTACTCGCAGAAATTGTCTCAAAGTTTGAGTATATCTCTTTAGGCTCTTAGTTTTCTAGAGAAATGTCATAATGTTGATTTATGGAGTCGGTTGGTCAATGCCTAATATTAAGTTTGCTGTTATGTCGCATTTACCATCATGGTAGGAAATATGCTTCTAAAGAACCTCAATATAACACTTGTGGAATCCAAATGTCCAGGTGAATTAAAGATGAACATGACAACTAGGCAGCATTATTTTTCTTAATGTCTTTTGTCTGTTTTGTTTACCAATAAGAAGGCTAGATTGCTCTGCAGTTGATAGCCTTCCCAGTTAGCATTGACTTCGGGTGTACTGCAGGGATTTTGAGGCAGACTTCGGCCTCGAGGCCGTGATCACTGCAGATAACCGTCCCACTTTCTTTAATGCACCCAAAGATTTTTGCCCCGAAAATTCTGCAGTGGTCCTAAAGCAAATACTAGCTGGATAGTGCTAGTGTAGATTAAGAACATTTTACATTGAAAGAAATAGTATAGGTAGGTAAAAAACTATCTAATTTCACTCATTTACCTCGTATATTCGGCCTTTTGCAACAATCCGGTTACAGTTCTGTTTCCTCAGTGAATAATTTAACACCGTCTTGGCTATAACTGCAGTTTTATTTATTTCCCTATTTCAAATACATATATAAATTGTTTATGTAAAGGTAATTATAGAAATAGGATAAAATTTGAATGTTTGCACCTATATGGTGTTTTTACCATCTGTTTCATTTTGTTTTTCATACTGATCCAATATTATCCATTTGGACAGTTGTGTGATCTGGAGAAAGTAAGATTTCTGATATTTTGACCCACAGTCTTGAGTATATTATGTATGGAAACTAACAATAGTATCATTTTGCATGTTCTGAGGTGACCTGGAAAAATTAGGTCACTTGTGTTTAGTTTTGTTTTCTTAGGTCGGATGCGTAAAACAGAGTTTCAGAAGCTCAATGATACCACAACAGACAAACATGAATGCATGGAGAAAATAATTTGATGAATATTAGTAACAGTGAATGGTTAAAATAGCCGTTTGCGCTCTTCCCAACATATACTATACTATTATATATATATATATATATATATATATATATATATAATACTATAATACAAGCTGTCAGCTCTTGGCATCAATCCATTAAGTCTTTGTTGGTTTGGGCCAGTCGCTTAAGATAGTGCAAACTTTGTCTAGCGTCATTGAAGTATTATGAACTAATTACTGGGCACTGTTGGTGATGCGGCTCAAAATGGTTCTCAGTGGTGCAGATACATTCACTCATTATGATTTTTTGAGATCCATTAAGTCCTCATGTTCATCCTTGAAATTGTTCTTCTTTCCGTACATTTTTGCTAGTTACAGCTTTTTCGAAATTGTTCGAAAATTACAATATAATAGAAAGTATATAATTGTACTATTGTGCTTATATTTTCAATCAAGATTTCAAAAATCGTAGCATAAGCTGCCCTAAAATGGTCAGAAATGGACTTACATTCATTGGTCTAATCACCCATCGCTTTATCCCTAAATTGAATTCCTTGAGCTAATATTAATTGTTTGAGAAAGGGGTAACACTGCATGTCACAGTCAGCAGTAACACAACTTTTTTGTCGTAACGTTTTTAGTCTTCACTCTACGCCTAATTTTAACTTTATTCTCTTCTGACTGACTTCGGTCTTGGTGTCCGGGTAGTATCATAGCCCTCGCACAAACTATGCGGTTTTGTGTGGCGCATCTCTTGGTGCCCACAATGTACGAAGTTCGTTTTAATAATAATAGTAATATTATATTTCATGTATGTACTGTTTCTCTCCGCTGTTTCTAGACTGTTAGCTCAATACATTTGGACATATTGCATCTAATTACCTGCATAAATGTCAGCTCACACGTCTACATCACAACCCCTTGGACGGTTAAACCAGTCCCATGGAGAAGCATCGGATAATGGCTTGTCTAGATCTAATCCAGTACTTCGTAATCATCAATCTTCTCACATTACTCATTCATCTCGTGATTCTCTCACTTCTCTTAGCCCCGATCAAATGCTCGCTTACGGGGCAAAACAGATAATCAGGTTAGTTCATCATTTTCTTGCTTTGAACTTATTAGTAATCAATAGGAAAGGCTTTTGTCATGGAAAAGGAATCCAACTCACTATGTAGGAAGCACTCATTATTATCATAGTTTTGTATTTCCTAATGAATGAAGGACAAAACCAGATTGCTTTTTAAGTGACGTTTAGCTATTTAGGTATAAAAGCTTTCCCAAAGTAATAGTTGGGCAGTGTTTACAAACTTCTTAGATTATTTATGATAACTGGATCAGTATTCTTCTGTATGGAATATTCTACCTTACCAGCTGACTTAGATAAGATAAGGATAACAAATGTGCATAATATTGGGTTCGATAACCATATGAGTGAAAAAATCGAGCCTATATATGTTACGAGAATTCTTAACACAAATTTGTTAACAATGTCATTTTGGAATGTCTGCGTGTTGAGGCCTGAAGGTTGAATTGTCATTTAAAGAATCGTGGACAATTTCAGTCATTATTTTTCCCTACCAACAATGAATTGAAACCACTGCACTTACAAATTCAGTACCACAGTGTTTTCTGAGTATGGTACCTTTTGCAAAATCCTCGTGTTAAGGTGTGCATGGTTCGAGAGTATAATGCTCGCCAACTACGCACGTGGTCGGGGATTCGATTCCCGGCCAACTCACTCTTAGACCTTGCTTAGCCGGTAGTAAGCCCGGTTTGAGGTTGAGTGTGAAGCTAACCACTCTACTCTGTAAAAAAATAAACACCATTCCTATTGGAACTGAAAATCTCAAGCTTGAAGCCCCATGTTCCACTTAGAACGCAAAGCAATGAAGAAAAAGCTGCGCACTCACTTCTCACCGAGCTGGGTAATTTAGGAAAAAAAGTAAGTTACTACTCTCTTACTGTTGTTATAAGCCAAAGACAGTAATGCAAGATGCATGATTCCATTTCTCTAAGAAAATGTAGCACAACATACCACTTGGGCAAATTTTCAAAAGTTAAGCATTTATCTCTAAATATCATGAATTAATGTTCTTCAAAGCGAACTTTCTTTTCAGATGATATCGATTAGCGAATCTATTAAACACTAAAGAGTTATTTGACAATTTTGTGGCATTGGTTTGTAATTTATCAGGAGTTCTTATCTATCGGTCGGGTCCAGTACCTCTATTTTCCGAGACGAATACGTAGCAGTTAAGCCACTGGGTTCATTAGTATTCCGTAATGGTGGCTATATTTAAAATCTAGAGCTTCTGAATTCCTAAAGTTTCAATGAAAGTGAAGACTTTTGACATAAGACGGTAATGATAGTTCAACAGAAAACAAATCCCTTACGTCGCTACTGAGTACTACTGAGTGATAGTGAGTGCAGAAATTTATTAGTGTTGTGAACCATGGATTCTTGCTTATGTAGTCGTCTCGTAAGCGAGAAGTTATGCCGGACGGTTTGGATATTTGATGCACCAGAAAATTTCCTGATGATACACTGTATGGTTCTTTGCCATGTTTACTGAAAAATTCAAACGAATTAGGTTAACAGTAATGAACTTTACTAGTAAATTTCTTGGAATATGATCAAGATATGTTATCAGATATCGTTCTTTCCCTCACTCGAGCAGGTAATTTCAAGAAGACTAACACATTCTTATAAGTGGAAGCGTTTGTCTCCAAACCAGTGAGTGGAAAGTATTGTAATTACAAATATATAATTACTGTAGTCATACAAAAATGTATTGTGCAATGATTATATGCTGCAACATTGGGCTGATTATTAAGTGACAGGCAGCGTGGTGGATTCTGATTGGTTCTTATCGTATTTACTTACAGGAAATCAATATTTATGTAATTTGAACTGTGACTGATAGACTGTCGATCTAGTCTGTTGTTACACATGACAGTTCTCACTACCCTCACATTCCACCTACGTAGTAATTAAGAAAACTGGCGGCTTCTTTTGCTTTTAACCTTTCGCTAGTTTATGGAGTGACATGGTTATTTACGTCCAGAGAGTGGAACTGAGAGTCATGTAAATAGACGTTTATCTAAAAACATACATTTATCGGGAGATCAATAATATGCCATTAGATGTAAGCCTGTTTTTCGTTCTTCTATGATGACAAAATCTAATTATCTTTCCATCTATTTTTCCTAATATTTTTCAGCATTTACTTAGTTGACATTTGATTGTTTTTTAGTGGGAAGTATCTTTCAGTGTACATTTTTTGGTTACAAGTTTGACACGAGCTGATATCAGTTAGAGAACCATTAGAAAACCAGGAAGTACTGAATAGCTGTTTTGTCCTAGTTTGGGACACTTCAGTAGCACGAATCCACCTGGGCTCGAACCCAGGATCTTCGGGTTACAAAGCAAGCTAGTAGGCCAACCTGGTCGCATAGTCCATTAGTTCCAACTTCTGCCAATCTACTAAGGCCTGTAAGCTCCTGGATTCGAACCCCAAACTAGGACAAAACAGCTGTCCAGTACACCCTTGATTTTCCAATGGTTCTCTAACTGACTCCACGTCGTGATCAAACGTGTAGCCAATCAAATCTTTTCTAACGAATACTTGAAAAAAAAATTTTTTAATTTGAATAACCTTCATTTATTTCCAAATTATCATTACTATTATTATTGTTTCATTTTAGTTTGTTTATACCCGTGACGATATGCATGTTGTTTGTTGTTGCTGTCGCCTCGACAGTTGACTTTTATGGACATACAGAACAGTACTTAATATATACACCGTTTCATACACCAGATGCTGATATTGGTACACAAACATGGCAGACAATAGCTAATACTTTAATATTTATGAGTGTTGTTGTTGTGATGACATGTATTCTTGTTTTATTGTTCAAGTATCAATGTTATAAGGTAAGAAGAATGAATAATTCCTACTATTTTCTTGTGTATATTTAAATAATTTAATAATGGTTTTACATAATTGTAAAATTATGAGCATAAGACTTAACGATGGTGAAAACGAGGGATCTGCCTGTGGAATAGTATTGACAGTGGGAGGAAAGCAAGATGATGTTGATGTAGACAAAGTTGGATGATGATCAGGAGAGTTTCATGTACTTTTAGTGGTGTGTGGGCGGTTGTCACTTCCCGGCTGTCCACATTGTGGAATTTTGTTTTCTCTTGAGGTATTAGTATTGCGTGACCGCAGAGCCCAAGGGACAAATGCTTGAGGCCGATCACACATGGCCTGTTTGGATTGGTTTGAGTTTAGTATCCATATTAGAAAATTACGACTGGCTACGGACCACTACAGGGTAAGCTGGGGAGTACAATTCTCGGGTTCAACATTTTCTAGCCTCCACCTCTCAAGAGTAGGGAGACAGCATAGCTGACATGCTGGCCATCTCAGATGGGAAACACCTTACTGCTGTCACATCCCTGCCCCCTAGTAGTACGGAACCCCCCCAAGCGTAGTGTAAACATTTTACACTATGCCGGTAACTGCTTTTAGTCTAGTCGCTATTCTAGCAATCTTTCTGATGTAGTCCCAGGCGGTGTAACTCGTTGTGTCATTGTGATTTGCAAGCCCAACCACTACATCATGGCAGCAGCTATCGGTCGGGTAATGATGACTCGTTATGCGAAACCACAGACATTCAGCGAGTGTAAACAAGAGCAAAAATATTTCATCCCTAGTTACTAACAGTCCTTATTCTAATTTTAGGAAGTGTAAGAGTAGGCTTTGGGAAATGTGATAGAATATAATACCATTCAGGATTAATAACTGGATGACTCCAGTCATATCAGTGTATTCAAACCGCTGGATAACTTACTTTGTAGAGTCTCATCATCTGCTGTCTTTATTACAGTCTCTTTTACATTTAGCATAGCTGTTACATCATTTCGACTGTGTGTCTTAGTGCTTATTCGATAAACAAAGGTACGGTGGCTAACCTCTACCTGCACCTAACAATTTTACTTTTTAATACTTCTACTTTATATCTCACTGAATGCATTGCGGTAGCTGAGCATTTTTTTCAGACTACTTAATTTATCAGGCTAATACAACCGGTTTCCTTTATTAGTTTGAACAATGAAAAAATGAATATCTTTGCAGGATAATACTACCTCGTCTTATCTCACGGATTCTTGTCAGCTGCATATGACCTAAAGAATATCAAAATATAAGTTACGAACGGTGTAAACATACTTTTCTCATAGTGACGTCGAGTCACTGATAGAAAGCATGAGCGAGATAATTCCGAGGTTATATAATCGGACAAATTAGTGTTAAAAAAGCTTGGCTATATACAGTATAATTAAGCTTTCTTAACGCTGAATAATATGTCTACTTGCATCATCTCGGAATTATCTTGCTTATATTTTCTATCTCTGACTCGACGTCACTATAAGAAAAGTATGTTCTATATTCCAGTAATGTAGTTGACCCCGATCTACCAGTTTGATCTATGTAATTGACTTCACAGTCATTACACGATATTTGGTAAATTATATTATTTTTTCCATAATTGGATCTGTTAGGTCCTTAAGCCGAAAAATTTTATGTCTGAGATAGTTGGTTGGTTTAAATGCCACCCTAATTCCAGTTTCATTGGGAATACTATGACATAAGGCTTCTGACATTCCTTCCTTATACGGCAGTACTACAGAGGTTTTGAATTCTATATTATTTTTGTTATTTTCGTCATTTTTATTACTAATGTCATTTTTTCTATGGTTCTTCATATATTTTTGAATAAATTCTGGTGGGTAGTTATTCACGAGTAATAATTCCCTTATTCGTTTGATCTCATTATTTAAATCTTCTGACTTGCTAGTTAGGCTGCTGGCTCGATTATATCACCACGTAATTAAACCTACGTTTACCACTTCCGAGTGGGATGAATCGAAGTCTAATTATCTATTAGAATGGAACGGTTTTCTGTAGATGCTGGTACCTATCTGTATGTCTGGTTTCAATATAGAATATTGCGCCAGTGTGCAGCAATTTGAGTTGCCATACTTCACTCAGCACATAAAGCCAGAGAAGAAAGTAAAAAGAAACGCAAAATAGAGACAGCAAACAGAGAAATGAGGCAAAAAGAAGAGTAATATCGAAGAACATTATAGTTTTATTGGGTATTATAAGTCACAAGAAGTGGATGCATCTGCGCTGTCATTGAGAACGATTTTGGGCCATATCACCGATTGTCTCCAGCCTTCATTGGTTATCACCGTCCCGAGAACTCCAACCAGGAAGTCTACACCTTCCTACGTGACTTAAAATAACTGTTGTGGATTTGACTGACTGGTGCCATGTTTTGGTTTGACCACCGCTAGCTGTTTTCCAACCTGACCCTATGTCAGCTAACATCGCCTATTGTCGAGGAAGGCGATGGCTAGGCATACATAACACATAATCTAACCATGTCAATCGGTGTAATTTCACAACCCCGTCGATTGATTTCCCCTCCTTACCTAGCATTCGACCTATGCCTAACCTCAATATTGTTCACCTTATTATACCACTTCACATGGGAGATAGAATGCAGGCACCTATTATCAAAGACAGCTAATCAGCTTTTTCATGTCTTCCACTCTCAATGGCCATGTCTCACAGCCATAAAGGAGGACGGAGCGGACTGCTGAACAGTACATACGCCCTTTGGTCGATAGCCAGCTGGATATCACGTCTACGCCAGAGACGGCGTAAACTGGCATATGCGAAATTAGCTTTCTGTATCCGTGGTGAGATTTCATCAGAGATCAACCAGCTGGCGTTGGCTGATGCAACTTCCCAAATAAGTGAAGTGGTCAACACGCTCCAACAACCACTTCACTCCCTATTTCTGAGCTAGGAGTTGTCGACGTAGTCCAGTCCTGTAACATCATCTTACATTTGGCGGGAGCGAATCGCATGCCAAACATTTTCAGATTGCAGCTCAAGGTGTTCAGAAGACTAATATCTAACCTGCTAGTATCCTGTTTTCGTTTTATTTTTCAGTCTAAGAAAGATAATTCATCGTGTACATTTACTAATTCGAAAGTGAATTAGATCCCATGTACTAATGAATTTATATGTATATATATACATATGTATATATATGTATATGATATGTTACGTTCAGATTTCAACGATGTGAATGTGTCATCCACATATAGCTTGACTATAACCTAATTTTAGGTGGTTGTAACTACACAGCTTCTTATTTGTGACCTAGATAACCCCACACTGTGGTTAAAGTTTGAACATTTTAAGTTGATATGAGCTTTCTTGTCGTACTGATTAATGGAAGTGAGGACGAAATCTGTCTTGAGTATACTCCCTTTTGAGGTATCCTACGAACACTTTCTTCATTAATTGTCTTCGTTACTACTTAAATGTTTTCTATTTTCATGCATATTTTTGTGATATTGATAATTTTTTTTGCGGATAAATCTCTCATTCCTTTTCTTTTTCATTTTTTAAAAATTTAGTTTATCAAGGGATGGCTAATTATGACGACAATTTTTCTACTTTTCTTAATATCATTCATGTTTTTCTCGTAAGTGTTCAAATATTTAGCTTTTTGCAAAGATTATTATTGTTATCATTATTATTGTTCCCTTGGGTTTTGAGTCGAACATACGGCTTCAACAGCCCATCTCCCCTTTGTCTTGTTCTCAGTGGTGCTCTTTCGTGGGCCCATAGTATCTCATCTCCTCCTCAGATGATCTCATATGTGCCAACCTCGGACACACACACAACTCGTCGTTTGCCATTCGGGTTCAACTCGAAGCATTGCCTGGCGTGCGATGTCATTCGACGGTCTCTTCAGCGTGTATCCCACTCCTTTTCATTTTCTTCGGGATGTTTGTCGATCGATAGGCTGTTGATTGGTTTGTTTGCAGAGTGTCTCATTACTTATTCTTTCTGCTCTGCCGTCTGATCTTCACTATGGAGCGAAGGTAACCGTTGATGAAAGTCCGCAGCAGCCTGTTGGAAATGCCTTTCGTGATGCGGGCGCTAAGCATCTGACCCATATAGAATAACTGACTGATTTAACATTGGAGTTGAAAGTCTGAATTTTGTCCTTTACTCTGAGTGCAGATGATTTTGTTTATTTGTAAAACGCTTAAAAAGTGTGAAGTTTGTGGCTCACTGGATTGAGCCATCAATTTCTAACCACCGGGTCATGGGTTCGAACTCTGCCACACCTACCGCGATTTGGTTAACTTGGTTGTATGTATGATTAGCCTCCATGTGACAGACTTGGCTCATTGCCAACTTCACAGAGTTACAAGTGGTTGTTGAATAAGACATTTCTTCTCTTTTTTTATGATAAACGTGTCCCACAATCAGTCTCGTAACAACTCAATATTCGCTGGGAAATCACTGAAAACCGGGAAATCGTAGATAGTTGTTTCGTTCTGACTTCAGACTCCCCATCATTAATGTACGCATTCACTACCGTTTGGCGGTCCGAACTGTGTTAAGTTTAGAGAACCATCGCACTGTTATTTAGGCATTCCTAATTTCTAGCCTTTGGGAATTTATTATCACGCATAGACTGTTCTTAACTTCAATTATTAATACAACACATTTCGACTTTGAGATTCGTTCGTTTAATTAGCGGTGTAATACTGTGGCAGAGAGCAACTTTACCTCTTATTACAGTATTTGAATATCGATTTGGTTATAGAACACCTACTGGTTGGTTGATGTGAGTAGTATCCAGCTACGCATATCAATCGGTCAGTAGCATACAGCGTTATTTTCTTTACTGGGTGTAGTTGAATTCTGGGTTTGTAGAATGCCTCGGTTAAAATGAGAATCTGATCTTGGTAAATAATTAAGTAGGTAGCTATGGAGTTTTGAATCTTTACGAGAAAATATTCTCCGACAGGTTAAAACAATGCCAGTGTGAATGCAGACTCATACGAGTCATTCTCAGCATCTTACAAGTTAACTGTGGTTGTAAAATGCTGACCTCTTCGAGTATTAACACATTTTCGGTAGTAATGTGAGCTGTGCCGAACATAAAATCCTTCAGTTTTACTCTTTAAGAGAATTGCAGTGTGGGGAAGTTTTCGCTTATGAGCGAAAGCACTTGACTGTAGTTAGTCAGGCAGAAACCAGTCCCTCCGTACTGGTCTATGGGCTACAGTTATGGTGTGAGGGTCGTTGGTACTACTAAGTTGCCCCCAGACTAAAGTACGTAGAGAGATTCATGCACAAGACCCATTGGCTGGAAATTGAGTACTTAAATCAATGGATCACATCTCCACCAATAAATAAGCCAAGGATCATGACTCAGCTCCATGTACAATTATTTGGTGTTATTAGTCTACACATATAATACGTGTTACTCATTGTCTACGCATTGCTTTTGTGTGTCAATATGAAAGGCTGAAAAATAATGAGGTGGCAGCTTTTGATTTTAGTGCTTTCTGATTCCCACTAGCCATGAATTTATTCATCACTCTGCAGATATTCTCTGTATCCTGATTATGGTGATAACACCCTTAATGATGTTCGTTAAATTCTCTATTTTATATCAATAACAGTGGTGTAACGGCGGAATGCAAGAGTAGTTGTCAACGGGATTATTTATTGGCAACTCAATGTACGTCAGAATTTACACATACCTTCGGTATTTTGCTTCTTCGTCTTCCTTTCATGTTTCCCATGTTATTTCACAAGCATCGTCCATTAAATCCGTCTCTCAGCTATTCGATATTCTTGCGTATGATATACATATTTATATCTGTATCTATATATTACTTATAAGTCTTGTCAGTAGCACACTCCACCTGTGGAGCTATAGCTCGTCCATCTAGTTGCTACACTTCCAACCACTGAGTCAGTGCTTCAAATCCCAGCCCACCTATCAGGGTTTGGGTAATTAGGTAGTATCAGTAGCCACCTACACACAACAGGTGTGACTCATTGTAATTGTCATTGAGTAACTTCTCCTCTATCTAGTGCTCCACTGCTATTTCAAAGAAGGCTTTGTTACGTAAGGAAATAAAATAAAAAGAAATAAAATTCTACAAATTATAAGTTACTCTTTCGTTGTTGTTTAAGTGATCTAACAGAAATTATAAAATATGAGTCTGAAGGAATTATGTTTTTTTTCTCTCTAAATTTTTCCAGTGAAGTTCTTCGTGCTATGGGTGTATTTATCGATCATATTACAGTGGCATTTATACTATGGAATTTCGGTGTAGTCGGTATGATTGTTATCCATTGGCGTGGTCCATTAATTCTACAACAAGCCTATCTAATATTTATATCTGCACAGATTGCATTAATGTTTTTAAAATATTTGCCAAAATGGACATGTTGGCTTGTTTTAGCCGCTTTAAGTATTTGGGGTTAGTTAGTTAGTTTTATTTTGTTTATTTTGTTAGCCTAACTTTGTAAAATTTATACAACTTAATGTATAATAGAGGCTTGGTGGTGTAGTGTTAGAATGCTCTCCGGCTGTACAAGTGGTCTGGGTTTGACGCCTGGCTAACACTGTCCTAGAGCCCTGCCTATTTCTCTAGCCGGTAGTAAAACAGAGAAAGAGCATGAGACCGTAAAACCAACACCACCTCTACTGAAACTTCAAAGCTGAAGTCTTTTGTTCCTCTAGGAATGCAAGACAATGATATATATATATATATATATATATATATATCGGACAGCACACATACGACTATCCGATGAAATCCAGTTGAGATTTTTCTGTCCTAGCACTCAATGCTATTCCTACACCTGCGAGTCCCCGCGAACTAGTCGGAGAATCTCCTGATTCAACCTTTTCGCCAAGTGGGTTTAAATAATTAACCACAATTGGGTCTTGTATGCGTATCTTCGAAACACGACACACGTTCCTGACTCGATATGCCGGAGTTCTGGTTATTGATGCCTGTTGTCTTATTTAGCAAAGAGTCCTGACATTAAATGCTCCAATATAAAGTTTTCAGCGTGGGTTTAAGTGGCTATTGTTAGTGTTTTTATGGTTTTTGTCGCTATAATTGGTCAAAGAGTGAAAAGAAGGTTGACAATAGTATTAACAGTAGGCGGGAAGCAAGATGATAAAGGTGACGTTGATAAAGGTGGGTGATGATCAGGAGAGTTTCGTGTGTTTTTGAAAGTGTATGGACAGTTGTTACTTCTCAGCTGTAACTTTAGTTTCTTCTCTCAAAGTCTTTTATCTGTATCGCGTTGTTAGTGTACTATTTTAAAAGTTAAGAGTATAGTATTGTATTGCTAGAAGTCCATCACTGACTCCATTAGAAAAACAAGAGAGGAGCGATTGTGTTTATTCAGGTGTTGGTTTGTAGGGATTTGATTGGTTTCAGGATTTCACTGTGAACTGACATCGGTCAGAGGATCATTAGAAAACCTGGGAGTACTGGATAGCTGTTTCGTCCTAGTTTAAGACTCTTCATCAGGACTCACTGAAGTTCGTAGTATTTCAGCCCTTCACGTTCGAAAGGGGACATGGGGCTTCAAGCATGAGCTTTGAACTTTCTGTAGTGGTGGTACCTTTGTTTATGGGTTGGGGTTGCTAGCCTAATGCCCTACTTTCCGTCCTTACCGAGCTTACTACTGGCCAAGCGAGGTTTAGGATTGCCGTCGACGAGGAATAGAACCCGGACCATTTGTGTGATTTACAATTCTAGTACTATTAACCTGGCAACACACAATTTGTTTAATGTGTGCTACTTAGTGGTAGCTCATTCAGTATGACTTCATTTGGATTATTCATAGTCACAAATGTCACAAATTGAATGCACTGAAAAGAAAAGGTTTACAATCATTATTTGACAGTTGAATATCAGTAATGAATACCATTTTACTGGAATTAATATGTACGTATATATTTGTGACTAGGAAGTATACTTTATGAAATATTTTTTGGGTTATAGAGTGTGAGTAATGATATAGCTGCTTTACATATTTATGCACCAAAGAAAATTTCTCATTCCATTTCATACTACTTAAATGGCTATTTAGTAGTGTAAATTTGTTTTTGTAAGTGTTTAGGACATACGTAATTCCAGTTGACTTCATGACATGTCAACATGAACAGCCTCAGAAAATGTAAGTAGAGGAAGTTACCTCTTCCACTCACCCATGCAGCTTCGTTTCAAATTGCAGGTGGTTGACATGGGTGAGGATATCAAAGGCAACAAGGGTAGGTCCGGAAAAGTAAGACAAACATTCGTAACTTTGAAATCAGCGTGGAAGTCTACTGCATTCAACACGAAGAAAAACAATCGAATTTTAAACAATAGTATCAAGCCACTCATGATTCTATATGGTCCAGAGACTTGGTGCGTGCTTCGGGAAAGGCATTGCCAACAAGCTACTGCAGAATTCCATTAAAAGTTGCCTTCCCTGGATACTGAAGATCAGCTGGTCGACCAGAAAGGATAAGCAGCAACAAGGAACTCTAGCAGTAAACCAACCAAGATATTATCCCCCAATAAGTATCCAGAAGTAAGTGGAGATGAATTATGCATACGCTGGGAAGACCGTTGAGCAACACCATGCACCTGGCGCTTGAGTGGACTTAGAATGGGAAGCGACAAGTTGGCATGGAGGAGATTAGGTGAGGAGAACTGCAGAGAACATGGTGAAATAAAGAAGACCGGGGTAAAACAGCTGTTCAGTTCTTCCAGGTTTTCCAGTGGTTCTCTGATTGATGTCAACTCGTGGTCAAACTTGTAACCAATAATTGTTTCCTTAAAAAATACAGTGGCGTTATTACAAAAGAGACCTATCATGTGAACATTTACCAGGAGTCCTACAAAAAGCAGTACTAGGTGACGCAGTCTCGAAAGTCCTAGGAGCATCAGTTCTCCTGACATTGCAGATACTTCTTGCTGATAAGTACTCGTAAGCACGAAATCTAGGTATATAGCTTCCTTTTACCTGTTCGAAGTGCGAGGTGATGACAAGCTCTTAAGGTTCCTTCTATGTATCCTAATAATATGGTATGTCACACTATACATTTTGTTTCTTAAACGGTTCTAAGGAGCATCATAGATTTAACATATCATTTACTTCAGAATAAAAGTTAACAAATATATACTAAAATTCAAACCAACTGTTTCTATATCAGTTCATTTTCTTCTTACATGCAATTTAGATTGTCGCGTCCTACTGTTATCTTTTAAGACAATGAGTACTACTCATTACCTTGTACTTGGATTCATAAAGTTTCAACAGCACATCGTCATTTCATCTTGTTATCTTCAGTCTTTTTTCCTCTTTCCTCGTGATTGCTGACAACCTTTCATTTCGGCCTCTCACTGTCTCCTCCATCTCACTGTCAGACCAATGTTGAACTAAATCGTTTACCATTCATTCGGGTTCCATTCTTGGGTCTTGCCCGTGTTGTCACCTGAAAGTCTCATCAATCCAATCCATCTCCATTCTCTTCCACATATTTGTTTGTTGGTTTGTTTCCGGAGTTTCGGGTTGATTTTTTTTCCGGCTTACCATCTGATTTTCAGTATGGAGAGAAAAAGTTATTGACAAAAGTCTGAACTGACATATTGGGAATACTTTTTGTGATGCTTCAAGCGTGTGAACTATAGAAAGGACTGATTTGGTATTGGTGTTAAACATTCAAACGCTGTTCTTCATGCTGAGTAAATTAGATTTCCACTCCGATTTCAGAATAACAGAGACTTGTATTGCTTTCCTGAACCAATCCATGTTGGCTCTAACATCGTCGTTCGTGCTGACTGCCTGTAGTTGAAACGATACCGCCTATATAAGTGAAAGAGGCGACCTGCTTTAGATTTCTTCTGTTGATGGTCAATCGTGCTTGTTGTTGTTGGTTAGGTATCTCCATTATCTATCACTGTCTTCTCTATGTTCATTTGATATCATGCCTTCGTGACCTATTCTGTCAACCCACTGATTTTCTGCTGCACCCTACTGGTCACGACTTCTCACTAGAACCCCTACCTGAATAGGGCTAGTCGCTAGTGAGCATCTCATTGATATTCAGGCAGGGATTTGATTGATTGGTTACAGGATTTCATTATGCGCTGACATCAACTACAGGACCATTAGAAAACCTGGGAGTACTGGACATCTGTTTCGTCCTAGTTTAGGACTCTTCATCAGTATGCACCCACCTGGTTCCGGTGGCTTAATGGTCTACGAGCTAGCTCGCCTTGTAACCATAAAGTCCTGGGTTTGAACCCCGGTGGGTGCGTACTGTTAAAGAGTCCCAAACCGGGGTGAAACATATGTCCAGTACTCCCTGCAGGTTTTCCAATGGTTCTCTTACCGATGCCAGCTAATGATGAAATCCTGTAACCAATCACTCAAATCCCTACAAACCAATACTTGAATATTATTGATTTTCGTCTGTATATCCTCGAGTTTGAATAATAATAATAATGTGTATAACAAGAATTTATGTTTTCTTTTTATCTTAGATATAGTAGCTGTTTTATGTCCACATGGACCTTTAAGAATGTTAGTTGAAATGGCACATGAACGTCAACAACCACTATTTCCTGCTCTACTTTATTCAACAACAGCTATGTATCTTGTGAAAAAATGTCAATCAATGAGTACAAGTGAAAATAATCAATCACCTGAGGAGTTGACTAACACACTTTCCAATGAGGGTATAGTCAATGAAGCATCAAATCTAGACTGTTCTGTTATACAACCTTGTCCAACAACTTCAGAATCTATTATCTCAGGTAAATGCTTGCAATAATTTTTCAGATGACGACAGTATGTAGGAGTGTGTGTTATATTAGATAGTTGGAGGCAATCGGCAGGAAGCTTTGCTCGACCTAGGTTTCGTGCTAGTTGGCACTCACCAGTCAGTAAGGCGTATCTGCAACCTTGAAGGAACTCATGTCCCTTCTGAGATTCGAACCCGTGTCACCCAGTGCTGCAGTCAGTGACGTTACCACTGACCTATTTGGGCTCGCGATTGACCTCCTGTGGGACTGTAGTGGTTAGTTTGATTGGACACTAGTAACTAGTGTGACGTGTCTAGTCCTTTCTTTGGTGCAGACTGAATTCTATCAGTCATGTTTGTAGTGTGGCCACCATTCTAGGTAGCTGGCCATCACTGTGCACATTGATTTGATGATATATAAGATGGTTGGAGGCAATCAGCAGGAAGCCTTGCTCGACCTAGGTTTCGTGCTAGTTAGCACTCACCAGTCAGCAAGGTGTATCTGCAACCTTAAAGGAACTCATGTCTCACATCAATGTGCACATGATGGCGAGCTACCTAGAATGGTGGCCACATTGCAAACCTGACTGACTAATAGAATTCAGTCTGTACCAAAGAAAGGACTAGACACGTCACACTAGTTACTAGTGTCCAATCAAACTAGTGTGTGTTATATTTGATAAGTTCAGAGTACAACAAACTATAAATTCACTGAAATGTGATGAGACCATCACTGACATAGTGCAGTAAAGATAAATTACCAATGATTACCAAATCAATGTGTGTATACAAATTTAACTGCTTCTATGGAGATAATTTTATAAGTTGTCGTCCTCAGTGAAATTCATCTTTATGCACTCGTGAACAGTGATCCAGTTTGACATGGAAAAGAAGTAACCATAAATCAATAAGTAGTGCTATTTTATCTCATCTAGTGGATAGTGATGAGTCATTTACAGTTATGTGTTGTGTACCAAACAGTCTGCCTAAAGATACACAATTACGTCTCCTAGCTTTGGATTTACACTAAAAATGCTGCTTTGTTGACTACTCTTCGGTCAGACATATGTACATCTATAAGGATGTAAGTCACAATTGTGTTTAAAGCTAATGAACTATTTAAGCATGTTTCAAAACTGAGTACGATTCACAGGTATGACTTGATTGTTTTAACAGTTGAGTGTGTCATGTCCAATGAAATATATCACTTCCCAGTTGTTAATGTTCCAAGCTATAGGCCACATAGCTATTGTATTGAGGACTGAAGATATTACCCACTTGACTGACTGACTGGTTTCAACACAGAACTTTGCAGCAGTTCGAGTCGTCACACTTCACTCAGCACACAAAGTCAGAGAAGAAAGTAAAAAGAAACGTAAAATAGAGACAGTACACAGAGATATGAGGCAAAAAGAATAGTAATATCGAAGAACAATATAGTTTCATTGGGTATTATAAGTCACAAGAAGTGGATGCATCTGCGCTTCATTGAGAACGATTTTGGGCCGTATCACCGATTGTCTCCATTGGTTTTTACCGTCACGAGGACCCCAACCAGTCAGGAAGTCTACACCTTCCTACGTGGTTTAAAATAACTTGTGGATTTCATTGACTGATAAAGTCATGTTTTGGTTTGACCGCTGCTAGCTCTTTTCCAGCCTGACCCTATGTCAGGTAACATTGCCTATTGTCGAGGAAGGCGATGACTGTGCATGTGTAATACATGTCCTAACCATCTCAGTCTATGTAGCTTCACAGCCTTGTCTATTGATTTCCCCTCCTTACCTAGCACTCACCGCCTAGCCTCAATATTGCTCACCCTATTATACCACTTGACACGGGAGATAGAATGCAGGCACCTATGATCAAAGACAGCTAGTCAGCTTTTCCATGTCTTCCACTCTCAATGGCTGGGTCTCACAGCCAGCCATAAAGGAGGACGGAGCGGACTGCTGAGCAGTACATACGCCCTTTGGTCGATAGCCAGCTGGATATCACGTCTACTAAACCAGAGACGGCATAAACTGGTATATGCGAAACTAGCCTTCTGTATCCGTGCTGAGATTTTGTCAGCGATTAACCCGTGGGCGTTGGCTGATGCAACTTTCCAAATAAATGAAGTGGTCAACACGCTCCAACAAACACTTCATTCCCTATTTCTAAACTAGGAGTAGTCGACGTAGTCCAGTCCTGTAGCATCATCTTACATTTGGAGGGAGCGAATCGTATGCCAAACATTCACAGATCGGAGCTCAAGGTGTTCAGAAGACTGCATTTTGTCAGCGTTTTCACCTAGGAGGCAGGACTATATCATCTGCATATTCTAAGTCAACGAGAATATGCTCAGACTGAAGTAGGTGGACTGGGATTCGAAGTCAGTACACCTAGTGGCTGAATGTCTAAGCCAATTAGCTAATAATGAGTGATTATTGAGTAGGCAAATAGCATATCTAAGTATTTGTTTGCTACACCATCTTTGCTACTGTTATTATTATTATCGCTCACTCTTCACCCTTTTAAGGTGATGAACAAATGACAGTGAATCGAAGAAACTCTACAAGTAGACACAATAATGAAGTAAGTCAGTATTCTACTTTTTGATTTCTCAGTGTTTGCATTTAATTTTACAGCTTTCCAATAGCTTTTAATTATTGAATGTGTAAAACTGCTCTTATTTCATTGTTTCATTGATTGTATTTAACTCATTTAATTTCGTCTCCTTGGGAAGCATAATGTCATTAGTTTCTAAAGAGTTTGTAAATAAAGTTGGAGAATATTTCAAATTTTGCGGGAGGGAGGTGTGTACAAGAAAAGAAATAATCAGTTACTTGATCCTTTTCATTTAAAAGAATTAAATTGTCATGAATTTAGTCCTTTGTTAGCATGATACTTATCATTGTTGCTGAACATTGAATGCGCAAAATATGGTTTGTTTATTCGAACTGATCTCCATTTGGCGGGAAACAACAATGGCAGCCGTTGCCTAATCGTATACTGGTTGGTAGAATAATTCAGAAGAACGATAAGAAGTATTATTGTGATTTATGTTGACGTTTATTCACAGACTTGGTGCTTTGTAACCCTGTTGTTCTGGTTCGTTGTCAGTGAAGAAATTAACAATCCCTATATATTGTCAATCCGTTTTCTGATATTTTCACCTCGGTTCCTGCACATAGTATTCTGAAGCACTGATGATTAGTCTTCTGGAATCGGCTGTAGGTAGTTCAGGATCTTTTCCGATCTAGTGTGCAATCAAAGCATACTTCGCTTTTGCTTACTTTGAGGATACACATGTGATGTAATTGGCTATGGTTTACCAGTAAGTGCATCTCAAACGGGATGCCTAACCACTATGTTAGTGGCATCGTTGTTCTACCGAACAGAGGATGTCAAATATCCAGATCGCTGAGATCGTGGACCTATCGCTGGTTTGAGAAGATACTTAGAACACTATGCACTGTAACTGACGCGGAACAACAGAAAACGGTCGGGCAACATGATTATTTATTCGTCATACGGTAAAGAAACAGATTTACAGTGATTAACCAGTGCTAAGTCTGTAAATGAACGTGAATATAGTATACAAAAGTACTTCTGATCGTATTTCTCCAATCTCCTGCCAACCAGTACACAATTAGGCGATGACAGCCTTCTTATCTCCCGCCAAATGGAGACCAGTTCGAATAAACAAACTATTCAATGTTCACCAACATTGACAGAGGTAATTTGTCAGTAATGGGGTTTAATAGTCATAAATTTAGGCTATAAATAGAATCAATAGTAAATCTTCAAAATTTGTCCAACATACTTTATAATTAATAATATAAATGGGGTGAAAAACAACATCATGAAGGAATTGTACAATCTTCTGGGAGATATAAAACTCTTCATGATGTACGTGTATGCACAGTATATTGACATTGGCGTCTTTTTCGTATATTGTAAACAATTACATCCTGCACCTGTTATGATTTTATTATTTGTAAAAGGATGATTTAGGCTAAATGAAACTTTGAAAATTATGTTAAGTATTTCGCATTGTGTCTCGTGTTCTTACTACACGACTTTCATTTTTGCAAAGTTTTTCTCCTCCACTTTATTAAACAACATACCAATTTTTTCCTCATTATCATGCTTCTCTTGCTTTTCGCTTGTTTGGAAAGATATCTTAGGCAAGAATAATAAATTTTCACTGGGTAGACTGCGGGGGGGGTATGCTTTATTGGCTTAGGGACTCGACTTTCAACCGATGGGCCTCGGGTTCGAGTCCCACCCTGCCTGTTTCAGTGCTTCGGCAGTAGAGAGCAGTATCATCAGGCCTGACATAATAATTATTTGGTGCATGATCTGGAAGACAAAATATCTTTTCTGGTTAACGAAACCCAGTATAGCATCTTTTGCGACTAAGATCGGAAGAATCTGAAGCCCTGAGTTGGTGTATATAAGGAGATTGTCCTTTTCAGGAAGTTAGTGATTGAAAATGGCTACCCGTCCCCCACCACCATGCATCATAGATACATACATAAGCCCGAAAACCAACGAAGCAAACCACATCTCTGTGCTACACATGAATATGGCGTTCAAAGGCGATCTTCTGACCAACAGGCCTAAGAAGTGAATATGAAACACCCTGAAAACAGCATTCTTTGCTTCTATATTAAGACCAGTATTCTACTGCCGCCTGATTTCTCCAATATCTCTAAAGTTAAACTATCGCATATAACTGATTCTGTGTGTATCCACCAATTCACTTGCCTCTATGGAGCGAGATATGTGGATCGTTCAATGCCTGTTTTGTCTAAAAGATTCAAGAAATATTATCCTATTTGGCTACAGAAAGGTCAAAGTGAATCAATAAGGAGAGAACATGTATTCAGTATGTACGAAGTCAGAAAAATACTCCTGAAAACCGTATACTTCTGCATACTTTGCATCTCCGAGGCGATTCGGATGGAAACCACTAATATATAATGAATTTATAAATCTCACAATGTGCAGACTGAAAGTATTTCTCGCTCTTGTTTTAGATACCTACAACTAGTATGGAGAATACAAATACGCCTAGAATCAACGTAAACAACACTAGCCATAACAACAACAACAACAACAATCATAATGAGTCTTATTCAGGAGTACCATGTGAAACTGATACACTTGTTAGGCATCCAGTTGATCGTTGGAGAGAGTTACAAGTAAGATTTTCTTTTCTTTTAATTTCACCTTAAATGTCTCACTGTGTATTGCCCTTTCGTCCAAGTGGTTGGACAGAATTTGTGTAATTTGAACTGATTCAGCTCTCTGAACTGAGTGAAACCCGTGCTACACCTCTGAAGAACTGTGCCTGCAACGAGCGAGATAGTCGTACGGTGTTTAGATCACTGGCCGGTTGATGATTGAACAGCATCGAACTACTTATACCGATCGATCAGTAGCATATAGCATCATTCAATTATGTTTTCTTTATTGACTGTCATTTATGGTATCAAGCAGATCACATATTGTAATGTGAATAATTTCGGTTTCTGAAGGGGACTCCGGTGAAATTCCATAGCGAACTGTGGAAATTACTAATTACACATTTGTAAAAAGATTCTTCATTAAATTTATTATTGAGACCTGATTTAACTCGTATGGTTCTGTAAATGTGTGAGCTGTTATTACTATCCGGCCTCCTACCCGTGGAGGTTGATTATTTCTCGAGGTGTCTGAAAGAAACAGAAAGAGAATTAGTGTTGCGTGACTGCAAAGTTCACGGGACAGCTGCTTGAGGCCAGTCACACATATTCTGTATGAACTGGATTTTAGAGTTGCTTCCGTATTAGTAACTTACTGCCGGCCATGGGCCGTCTTAGGGTAAGTTGGGATGTACAATTTTTAGGGTCGACCTTTTCTAACCCCAACCTCTCTCGAGAGAGTGGAGAGGCAGTGTAACTGGCCTGCTGGTTACCTGAGGGAAACACCTTACTGCTGTTACATCCCTGTTCCATAGTAGTAGGACTTTGCTTACAGACCTCCCAACACATAGTGTGAACGTTTTACATCACGCCGGTTTTAGTCTAATAGCTTTCATTGTGATATACCAGACCGACCACCACGTCAATGTAGCAGCTATCGATCGGTTTTATTAATACCACATGGATGTTAATACGATGAGGTCTGGTGATACTAGGTGACCGCTCGAACCTCATTAGTTGAAGTGGGGAATTTAAGCCCTTCAACCACTGGTCGCCGCCTACTTGCTGCTCAATGGAGTGGGTTACAGTGCCACAACCTGATTACAATTATAAACGGATCTTTCGGATGCAATGATCGATCGTATTTGTAGCGTGTTTCTGAATTGTATAATGCTATGTTTCACTCACTCAACATTACAACTATTGATAGATTAAATTCAAATCAGAATACATTTTAGGTTTTGTTGTTAAGTTTCATTGATGCTGAAATATTCACGTAAACTGATTATAACTGAAATCGTATGACGAAGCAAGTAGCGTATTTGTTCGTTGATCATTCGGTTGCATATTTGTGTGTATCTATGGTTATATGCACACACTCATTTTGGGTGTGAATAACTGTCAGAAGTGGAATGTGACCTAAATTCTGAGGTACAAAAACGCTTGTGCTTAGTAATTCAGTTTCAACATATCCTTGTTTATTTAACTTGTGATTTGTTTGCTTTGAGGATACCTTAGCGACGGGAGTTTTACACATAGGGGGAGTGAGTTGATAGTTTCACTCCCAATCTACCTTCTTTTCTCAGCTTAGGTTCGTCAGCAAACTAAGCGAGGTTAATTTCGTGTGACTGCCTAGTCGCGTAGACTGTAGTAGGTAGGTGTGGCGGTGTACGAATTCCACACCCCATCTACTGACGGAAGTCAACTGCTTAAGACAGTAAGCCCCCCATCTTCACTCCTTCATTGTTGATTACTTGCAGAAATAACTTAATATTCTCCTTGCTTATCAATTTTTCATTGTTTCTTTACATTTTGCTTTGTCTTTTTTCTCAGGCGGATCTGATTGATCGTGATTCAAAAGGTGTTAAACTTGGTCTTGGCGATTTTGTCTTTTACAGTCTACTAATTGGTCGTGCAACACTAGACGGTGATGCTGTCACTGTGATCACATGTTATGTAGCTATATTAGTTGGCATGTGTATCACTATCATTGTGTTGGGCATAACACGACAAGCCCTACCGGCCTTACCAATATCTATTGCATGCGGGATATTATTTTATTTTGTCAGTTCAGCGACAATATCACCATTTCTTGAAGCGACAGCTAGTCAACGAGTATTTTTCTAAGCTTTACTATTACTAATACTCCCAATATCATCATTATTCCCTAATTATTATATTTCATTTCTAAACCATGTTCTCATCTCATGACTGCGACCATCCAACCCTCGTCATACTCAACTAAACTTCTATTCGCTGTTCATTTTTATTCTGTAATAAATCTATTTCACATTATAATAAAAGCGTTTTTCTCTTTTCCAATGAATCAAAAACAAACACATATTATTGTTTTTACTGACGTTTCTCTATTTAATGCTGCTAATAGCTTTATCAAAGTATTATTAAACCAGAATTTACAAAGTCTCAGCTTATATATATGTATATAACAACTTAATCATCGTTCCTCAGCATGGGGTCATTTTTGCGTTGTCAAATTGGCCAATTGCTAAAGGTAACAAAACCAGGTGTGAATTGTTGGATTTGATAAGTGTGTAAAATTATAATTATCGAAGCAGCATGTGTTTACATAATGAAATTGGTTATCACATTCGTGTTGATTTTGTCATTTCATGGAGGAGGGGAGTGGGTGTTGCGACCAGGTTAAATTCTGTTTTAGTCCATCATTCGTATTCAGACAATTTGGATTCCATTTGATATGAAGTGCTTCTGATATTAAACGTTTTTTGTGATTTCTGAAATTTTTCCGGATTATTTCAATATTGTCAAAATCAATTTTGTGGCCGGATTCTATAGCGTGTAGACCTATGGCTGGTGATTTTTCAAGCCTTTCTAGTTCAACTGGATTTCTCCGTGGTTGGTCGAACGGATGCTCTACGGTGTTCATTTCTTCTGATTTTGGGCCAAGTTAAACTTTAAGCACCACTAACTACCAATCCGCGAGTGACGTCGAATTGTCCAATGAAATTCATGAACGTGAGTTCAATGTTGTCTAGCGCTTGATTCGTTTCAAATGCGTGCTCTAACGAAGTGAAATGGAATAAAAACCACCATAATGCCACTAAATAAGTTCCTTCTTCTTTTTCAGAAAGAAACGCTGACGTGGCCTTACTGGAACAGGAGGAAGATCTTTTGTCCAGACTTGTTATAAACGATGATAATTAGCTCTGTACCCGGTTAATTCAAGCCTGGCTTGGTTCAAATAAACATCTCCCTCTCGCCCTCTTCGTCTTCTTCTTTCGTTGGTTGTGGCTGTTGCCATGTGTGTTACAAATTGGTGTCGGAGGTGTTTGATCTACACAAAACATGGCAAATCGATCCCAGGATGATCTTCCAAAGTTGTTTCCGGAGGAGAGTGCCTCAACATTGCCAAGTGTACCGCCGCTTCCCCGCCCACCACTGCTGCAACTATCATCAGACTACCCACGTTGGAAGAAACGGATGTAGGCGTTTCTCGACGTTACTCCAGTGGCCCACCACTTCATCCACGTCCTCAACACCTTATTCGAGGACGCCTTCGCCCGTGCAGACGCTGCTGGTTTCAGCAATACCAACTCTATGCGCACAAATTGGGAGATCCTAGATCAGTGCTTTGACCTGAGGCAGGGCCCTCAACATGCCCTGCTCAAACTGCTCTCCCACCGACAACTACCAGGAGAAAGTTTCCTGGATTATCTTCACGCCCTCCAGCTACTGGCAACTGGACTTGACAGTCACGGGGACCTCGCCAGCAAAGACCAGCTAGTGTGCACACGCTTTGTTGAGGGAATGATGCCCGGTGATCTGCGCACAAACCTTCGACCTCAGCTTCCAACCAGCACATCCGAGTTACAGCGGATTATCCTTCGTTTCATGGACACTGAGAACGACTACACGTTCACATCCAGCAGCTCTATATGCCCATTGCCAACAGCACCCACTGCAGCCGCCGTGACCGTTCAACAAGCCAACGGCACCTAAATGGGGACGCTACCCGTCGCTGTTACTATTGTCAACGTTTCGGGAAGAAGGCCCGCAAGTGTGGTCACAATCGCCCGCCGGACCGCAGTAAGTCTCCTCTTTTTAATTTGTTTACATACTCTTGTACCAAGCAACCTTTGATGTTATGGGGACATATTACTGGAGTGCCCTCTAAAGTACTCTTAGATACTGGTGCGTCGGTCTCTCTCGTAAAGGCTTCCTTCCTTCGACGTTTGCCCCAGTACTCACCCCCAGTAACCACTCACAATGTCTTGACGACGGCTAACGGTGCTAAACTGGAGGCTCGATCTGCTACCGATCTACAGCTGCGCCTTGGAGATCTAAATGTGCGTCATCAGTTTCTTATCTGTGCGCAGATTACATGGGACCTCATTCTAGGGGTAGACTTCCTGACGTCACACCACACTCTTATAGATATCGCCCATTCTCGAGTCACAATTGATTCCGTCACCATATCCTTATATAGCCCTCAGCAACCGATGTCTTCTGCGTCAAAGTTATCAGTGTCTACCATCCTAAATCAAATTTCGGTTGATCCATCCGCTCCTGCTCCCCTCAGAGGGCGAATGCTGGAATTAATTGATGAATACAATACGCTGATGTGTTTGATGATGGGGGTAATCCGGGACGCACCAGTGTTGTTCAGCACCGTATCGATACAGGAAACCATCCACCTGCACGTCAACCACCCCGACGGATCCCCTTCCGAGTTCGCACTGACCATCGTGCACTACAATGGCTTCAAACTTCTGTAGCAACTATCTGCAGTTCGGCCTAATCCACATTGGGACGGACTGCAGATAGTTGCTACAGAGGTTTGAAGCCATTGTAGTGCACGATGGTCAGTGCGAACTCGGAAGGGGATCCGTCGGGGTGGTTGACGTGCAGGTGGATGGTTTCCTGTATCGATACGGTGCTGAACAACACTGGTGCGTCCCGGATTACCCCCATCATCAAACACATCAGCGTATTGTATTCATCAATTAATTCCAGCATTCGCCCTCTGAGGGGAGCAGGAGCGGATGGATCAACCGAAATTTGATTTAGGATGGTAGACACTGATAACTTTGACGCAGAAGACATCGGTTGCTGAGGGCTATATAAGGATATGGTGACGGAATCAATTGTGACTCGAGAATGGGCGATATCTATAAGAGTGTGGTGTGACGTCAGGAAGTCTACCCCTAGAATGAGGTCCCATGTAATCTGCGCACAGATAAGAAACTGATGACGCACATTTAGATCTCCAAGGCGCAGCTGTAGATCGGTAGCAGATCGAGCCTCCAGTTTAGCACCGTTAGCCGTCGTCAAGACATTGTGAGTGGTTACTGGGGGTGAGTACTGGGGCAAACGTCGAAGGAAGGAAGCCTTTACGAGAGAGACCGACGCACCAGTATCTAAGAGTACTTTAGAGGGCACTCCAGTAATATGTCCCCATAACATCAAAGGTTGCTTGGTACAAGAGTATGTAAACAAATTAAAAAGAGGAGACTTACTGCGGTCCGGCGGGCGATTGTGACCACACTTGCGGGCCTTCTTCCCGAAACGTTGACAATAGTAACAGCGACGGGTAGCGTCCCCATTTAGGTGCCGTTGGCTTGTTGAACGGTCACGGCGGCTGCAGTGGGTGCTGTTGGCAATGGGCATATAGAGCTGCTGGATGTGAACGTGTAGTCGTTCTCAGTGTCCATGAAACGAAGGATAATCCGCTGTAACTCGGATGTGCTGGTTGGAAGCTGAGGTCGAAGGTTTGTGCGCAGATCACCGGGCATCATTCCCTCAACGAAGCGTGTGCACACTAGCTGGTCTTTGCTGGCGAGGTCCCCGTGACTGTCAAGTCCAGTTGCCAGTAGCTGGAGGGCGTGAAGATAATCCAGGAAACTTTCTCCTGGTAGTTGTCGGTGGGAGAGCAGTTTGAGCAGGGCATGTTGAGGGCCCTGCCTCAGGTCAAAGCACTGATCTAGGATCTCCCAATTTGTGCGCATAGAGTTGGTATTGCTGAAACCAGCAGCGTCTGCACGGGCGAAGGCGTCCTTGAATAAGGTGTTGAGGACGTGGATGAAGTGGTGGGCCACTGGAGTAACGTCGAGAAACGCCTACATCCGTTTCTTCCAACGTGGGTAGTCTGATGATAGTTGCAGCAGTGGTGGGCGGGGAAGCGGCGGTACACTTGGCAATGTTGAGGCACTCTCCTCCGGAAACAACTTTGGAAGATCATCCTGGGATCGATTTGCCATGTTTTGTGTAGATCAAACACCTCCGACACCAATTTGTAACACACATGGCAACAGCCACAACCAACGAAAGAAGAAGACGAAGAGGGCGAGAGGGAAATGTTTATTTGAACCAAGCCAGGCTTGAATTAACCGGGTACAGAGCTAATTATCATCATTTATAACAAGTCTGGACAAAAGATCTTCCTCCTGTTCCAGTAAGGCCACGTCAGCGTTTCTTTCTGAAAAAGAAGAAGGAACTTATTTAGTGGCATTATGGTGGTTTTTATTCCATTTCACTTCGTTAGAGCACGCATTTGAAACGAATCAAGCGCTAGACAACATTGAACTCACGTTCATGAATTTCATTGGACAATTCGACGTCACTCGCGGATTGGTAGTTAGTGGTGCTTAAAGTTTAACTTGGCCCAAAATCAGAAGAAATGAACACCGTAGAGCATCCGTTCGACCAACCACGGAGAAATCCAGTTGAACTAGAAAGGCTTGAAAAATCACCAGCCATAGGTCTACACGCTATAGAATCCGGCCACAAAATTGATTTTGACAATATTGAAATAATCCGGAAAAATTTCAGAAATCACAAAAAACGTTTAATATCAGAAGCACTTCATATCAAATGGAATCCAAATTGTCTGAATACGAATGATGGACTAAAACAGAATTTAACCTGGTCGCAACACCCACTCCCCTCCTCCATGAAATGACAAAATCAACACGAATGTGATAACCAATTTCATTGTGTAAACACATGCTGCTTCGATAATTATAATTTTACACACTTATCAAATGCAACAATTCACACCTGATTTTGTTACCTTTAGCAATTGGCCAATTTGACAACGCAAAAATGACCCCATGCTGAGGAACGATGATTAAGTTGTTATATACATATATATAAGCTGAGACTTTGTAAATTCTGGTTTAATAATACTTTGATAAAGCTATTAGCAGCATTAAATAGAGAAACGTCAGTAAAAACAATAATATGTGTTTGTTTTTGATTCATTGGAAAAGAGAAAAGCGCTTTTTCATAATAATTATCGTATATCTAATGCTTCAATTTTCTCAAACTGTTTGGAGGGAACTTTTACATGTATATATTTGTTTGTAAACCACCATGTTATTACAAATTTTATTAATTTAACAATGCCGTTTTTCAGACTTCGGAAAAAGAGCATATGGGTCGAAGATTGTATATGATTTATTTTTAGTTATTTCCTCTTCACCATATATATTGTTATTACTTTTATTCCCTTTGTTTCCGAGCTGAACGTGGAGCTTAAAGAGCACATCCATATATCATCTTGTTTTTTGCGGATATCTGTAGCTGATTCCGCGGTTGACGATAAGCTTTCATCTCCTCTTCACACGACCTCTGTGTCACAGTCAGACGCCCAATTACTCGTTTTCCATTGAGTTCTACTAAGGAGCCTTGCTCGAGTTGTCATTCAGTCGACTTTCTAGCGTGTGTCCGATCCATTTGTACCTTGTTTGGCATAGATATTGAGCATTAGGTTATTGATTGCTTCTCTCCCACATTTCTTTGCTTCTAGTCCTTTCTGATCAGCTGTCTAATTTTCAGTATTGAGCATGCGAATCAGCTGTTGGTGTTA